GCACTGCAGGGTGATAGAAATTGATAGGACATGATTGGCATTTAAGGTGTGTTTTCATGTAAATAGTATTGATCATTCCCAATATAATCATGCCAGACAATTCTCGTCACACCCATACCCATGTTACTGAATTAGCTATCAGAACAGTTGAATTTCCATAGTTATTCATGTGTTTTTATTTATAGGTCAGGGAGGACAATGTGTTGTAGGACAAGTGCCAATTGATTACTGTGAAACCTGTGATATGGAGCCATTCAACACTAAAATATACATATATGAAAGTCGATATGTTTGTTGTTATCAAATTAATTCGAGGTTATGTATCCCGAGTAACAGTAGTCGTTTAAACACTATTAAGAATACACATCTTGTTTGTCTATTCAAGTTATTCTTAACCGTTATTGATGTTATATACTTGAATTTAATTACCTTACTACGTTATGAAGAGACAAGAATATGTATCAATGAACATAAAAACGCTCTACAGTTTGTCTATAGTAAAGGCTTTGTTTTCGTTTCATGACTTCATAATATCAAAATTAAGGCATTTAAAGTGTTTTTTTAAACTATCATCCCTCTAGCAAACTATTTTATAAGAGAAATATCCAGTGTATTAGGACGTCATTTTAAGGGATATAAGAAACTCCCACTTTAAACAGCATTTATTAGTATGCTGTTACTTTGAAATAAATTAGTAATATTTTGTTGTTCTCTTGTGTGTTTTTTGTATAATCTTGTTTAAAATAATGAAATATCGCTCTACCAAAACTACATTGGGTTATTGTTTCACAGTTTGTCGCTTTCGGTATTTGTTCAATATCTTGAAACCTTATTTTCGGTTTCTCTGTGCGGATGTTTTTTCCTATGTTAGTAACCTTTACATAGCAAGTGTACTGAATATTTATTGTCCCTCGCCTAAACGTGTGAATAATTTAGGTCTTACTGACAGGATACTTATCTTTATGTGTTCTAATGCTGTTAACGCTTAGAGCAGATACCAATGTACTTAATAACCTTGAAAGTCGTTTCTATTTATGTATTATGGTACGCAACATGGCCGTTGACTTTACTAAACGGCAGTCTACATTCACTGAAGATAAATGTCAAAAGTGATCCAATAGGGGATTTAAGTATTGAATTTCTTAAAGAAACAGGTTATTATCCTCATTTTGTTGGCAAATAAGAAGCAAAATTAGCAGAAGACGAGTTTTGATAATGAAATTTATGTAAATAGAATAATAAAATTACAGGCCAGGATATACAATTGGCGTCATTAAGTTTATAATTTCAATTTGTAACCGAATTGACAGTCTGTAATAATTTTAAAAAATTTATCGATAATGAAAACAATATAAAACAATACTTCTACAGCCTGAACTCACTCAAATGTCTACAATAGATGTTAATACTCCATAAACTGTCAATGATACACCTACAAACGCTGTATACAGTGTTGGTATATTAAACGATACACGTGTAATAATTAAACACAGCGTTGGTATATTAAATGATACACGTACAAAAACTAAATACAGCGTTGTATATTAAAGGATACAAGTACAAAAGCTATATACAGCGTTGCATATTAAATGATACAAGTACAAAAACTATATACAGCGTTGTATATTAAATGATACACGTACAAAAACTATATACAGCGTTGGTATATTAAATGACACAAGTACAAAAACTACATACAGCGTTGTATATTAAATGATACAAGTACAAAAACTATATACAGCGTTGTTTATAAATGACACAAGTACAAAAACTATATACAGCGTTGTATATTAAATGATACACGTACAAAAACTAAATACAGCGTTGTATATTAAATGATACACGTACAAAAACTACATAGAGCGTTGTTTATTAAATGATACACGTACAAAAACTACATAGAGCGTTGTTTATAAATGATACACGTACAAAAACTATATACAGCGTTGTATATTAAATGATACACTTACAAAAACTATATACAGCGTTGTATATTAAATGATACACGTACAAAAACTATATACAGCGTTGCATATTAAATGATACAAGTACAAAAACTATATACAGCGTTGTATATTAAATGATACACGTACAAAAACTAAATACAGCGTTGGTATATTAAATGATACAAAAACTAAATAGCAATATACAGCACTGTTATATACATGCGGTACACGTACAAACACTAAAAACAGCGCAAATTTGTATCATCTTTCAACGATAAAAAATACCAAAAATAAATACGGCACTGTAATATCAATCAACGATGCACGATCAAAACTAAATACAGCGCTATTATCTGTCAATAATACACGTACCAAAACTAAATACAGCGCTGTAATATCAATCAACGATACACGACAAAAACTTAATACAGCGCTGTAATATCAATCAACGATACACGACAAAAACTTAATACAGCGCTTCAATATCAATCAACGATACACGTACCAAAACTAAATACAGTGCTGTAATATCAATCAACGATAAACGATCAATAATAAATATAGCGCTGTAATATCAATCAACGATACACGATCAATAATAAATACAGCGCTGTAATATCAATCAACGATACACGATCAAAACTAAATACAGCGCTGTAATATCAATCAACGATACACGACAAAAACTAAATACAGCGCTATTATCTGTCAATAATACACGTACCAAAACTAAATACAGCGCTGTAATACCAATCAACGATACACGTTCCAAAACTAAATACAGCGCTATTATCTGTCAACGATACACGTACCAAAAATAAATACAGCGCTGTAATATCAATCAACGATAAACGATCAAAACTAAATACAGCGCTGTAATATCAATCAACGATACAGTTCCAAAACTAAATACAGCGCTGTAATATCAATCAACGATACACGACAAAAACTAAATACAGCGCTATTATCTGTCAATAATACACGTACCAAAACTAAATACAGCGCTGTAATATCAATCAACGATACACGATCAAAACTAAATACAGCGCTATTATCTGTCAACGATACACGTACCAAAAATAAATACAGCGCTGTAATATCAATCAACGATACACGTTCCAAAACTAAATACAGCGCTTCAATATCAATCAACGATACACGTTCCAAAACTAAATACAGCGCTATTATCTGTCAATAATACACGTACCAAAACTAAATACAGCGCTGTAATATCAATCAACGATACACGATCAAAACTAAATACAGCGCTATTATCTGTCAACGATACACTTACCAAAACTAAATACAGCGCTATTATCTGTCAACGATACACGTACCAAAAATAAATACAGCGCTGTAATATCAATCAACGATACACGATCAAAACTAAATACAGCGCTGTAATATCAATCAACGATACACGTACCAAAACTAAATACAGCGCTGTAATATCTATCAACGATACACGTTCCAAAATAAATACAGCGCTATTATCTGTCAACGATACACGACCAAAACTAAATACAGTGCTGTAATATCAATCAACGATACACGTACCAAAACTAAATACAGCGCTATTATCTATCAATGATACACGTACCAAAATTAATACAGCGCTGTAATATCAATCAACGATACACGATCAAAACTAAATACAGCGCTATTATCTGTCAACGATATCTGTACACGTACAAAAGCTGATTTTCTGGTTAGATGTAAGTCATTAACAGCAAAATAATGTCGACAACCAAACAATTAAAAAAAATATACCTATGTTTTTTTCATCTTTAACCATGGAAGGACATAATATGACTATATCTTCCAAAAGAAAAAACGTCTACTTGTTCATCGTCGACAACAAGCAAGTGACGAGACTATTAACTGGTGTTTCAGCAAAGATGAGAACAAAACGATACAAATAAGATCAAACCAAGTCAATATATGAAAGAACCAGTGCAAAATATGAGCAAATCATGAATAAAACAGGACAAAAAATATTAAGAACCGCATGGCAAAATTGAGAACAAAAACAAGGGCGTAATCCAGAGAAAATATGAAAAAGGAACAAAGTATGATAAAACAAGGGCAAATTGTGAAGAACGCCAGGGCAAACTGTGAACAACACCAGGGCAAAACTGAACAAACCCCGGGGAATTTTTAACGGAGAGAACTAAATTGCCAAGGAGAACAAAAATAAAGGTTAATGTTCGGAAAGAATAGGAATACCAGTATAAATGTCACATTCCAGAGAGACTGCATAAATACATTTACAAAAACGAGTGAAACATACCTTCAGTAATCGTCAGTAAGTGTATTACTTATGTGAATATCCGAAGGAGAAAAATACTGAGAAAGGAAAAGATTCCTCGGACCCAGATATGATTTATTGTTTTTGAAAAGTTGGATTAGATATCACTATTTATTGTCAGCAACTGTTCGATTGTTTAATGTTCTTTTCTTTTGTTTACGCCCGATAAACAACACTTAAAACATGTAAGTTATTTGATAATAAATACATCATGGTTTGACCATATCATTAAAATCTAACTGAAACAAGAACATTAATAAGCAAACATCGTTTCTTAGTTAAATGTATTGATTAAAGTGTTTTTAGTCATTAAATTTGATTAAAAAAATATAAATTTCCTCGTCATCCCAAAGCTCCCATTTATAATACTGAAGTATAGTGTTGGCATCGCAGTCACTTTTCATTGCCTTTCGTATTGTTACATTATGATTTGAAAACCAAAGTAGAATTAAAACGGTAAGGAAGGAGAAAAAGACAATAATTGATGGAATAGTGATTTAGCTAGACCATGCGACAAACATACAATCAGTTGTTCCTCTGAGATCAATTTAGTTAATTTTTAATCTCAAGTATTGCAGAGTATGGTAATTATGAGTTCTACCACACTGCAATAAAGAGGGTACCAAATAGAAGATCATATACTCACCAAAAGGAGGAGATAGTGATGGTTAGTAAACTCCATACCGTGGTATCGTGTGTGGGTCAACACTTACGTCGAGATATACCTGGTCGGTATCGACACGCACCTGCGCCCCGGGCCAGCCAATCAGACGATGGTGTCGCTTTATATAAACAGGACGCTGTAGAATCATTCTTGTTTTAGACTATTGTCACAACATTGATCGTGACGTCGATGCATAATTCATTTTGAAAAGGAAAGTAATAGACTAATGATAATCAATGAACTATCATCGTATAAAAAAATAACGATAGATACACATGTAGATTTATGTAGATAAGTGCATTGTGTTGAGATATTTGGTCAGAATTAAAGTACAGAACGTATACCCATGACATTACTGATGCCATCAATTCACATGTTCGTCACGTGGTATTTGTGTTCGATGTCGGCTTTAACAGTATAGACACATATTGATTCCAAACCAATGTGTAAGGTCGTACACTGGGTATAAAGGTATACCAACACCATGGTTTTAGAGCACATGTATTTAAATTTTCTACATCCTAGCCAAGCACAGCAGGTTATTCGTGCCAACAGTCTAATAATGTTTATGATTTGTAAATGTAATACCTAGTCAATTAATAACAGGATGTGCAGTACATTATTATATATCCCTGTCAATAACGAGCAATAAATACAAGCTTAAAGCCAACAAAAGACAACACCCGAGACTAAAAACACTAATAAATAACAAATTATCATAAATTCTGACGTGTTGACAGGATGAATGTGGACCCATAACGATTTTTCTGCCTAAGCTACAAAACACGAAGGTATTTAATTGGAGTTTAAAGACGACGATATCCACGGACGATGGGGTCAATCTAGGCCATTTTTGTGTCATTATACTAAAATTCAATAAGTATTACACATAAGCCTGGAAATACTACCGTTTATCACAATGACATTGGAAAAAGGTCAGTTATTTCCTTGTCTATTTAATATTATTTTGTGGGATAAAATGAAAGAATGAAGTTATAAGATGAAATGATCTTTAGTATGTCTCTACTTGCGATAGAATTCACAGCGTTGAAAGAAGTTGTTTTGAAAGAGGTAAAGATATCATATTCCCCAAATTGTATAGTCTCCTACGATTATACAGTTCCTGAGTCCCAATAGACGTACGAGTTATTACGTGAGAAATTTAGTTTGGTTTATTGGTGCTATAAGTCTTATTGATAATCAGGGTCATTTAAGGATGTGCCAGATAGTGGTGAAGTTCCCGGAGAAAAAAAAAGCACCGACTGCCCCAAGTAGGACTCGAACCCGCGACCCAGAGGTGGAGGGCTAATGATAGTAATGACGTCAACAAGAAAGATATACTTTTCTAACTCCTTTAGGTGTGAACTGCATCTGATAATTAAAATTTTAAGAAATTAAGACAGGAAAAAACATCGTACATCTTATCTAACCAACATACAAATATACGGCTAATAGAATGCATCGTCTTTATAGTCACTACAAGTGTTCATAACAGAAATAAACGTGCTGTCGTAATCAAGATAAATAGAATAGCACCCGTTCAAACCAGGAATAACCGTAACATTATAGCTTCTCGTGTCATCTTTTAATAGGAACTGACTGAAAAAGTATAGACATAAATATTAACTTGAATACTGATATAAAAGTGTAAACTCTCGCATTTTTTAAAATGATTACATTATTTTACAATGTACCTTTTTGTACGTTTAACACAAAATTGCGCCTATTTCATTGGAAAGTGATGTTGCTCTCAGTAAGAGTTCACGAAACTTTGTGTCTAGTCGTTCTTCGGGAATTGCTTACGTTTTCGCGTTTTGGAGAGGACTGCGATTTTCAGAACAGAATAACCACGGAAATTATAAATGGACGTCGATCCTATCCGAAAGGGACGACATTTTGCTAGTAGCTGATTCTACATTTGGAATTTGGACTAATGTACAGTTATAACGGTTGGTAGACTATATGTAGAAATGGCAATACAGGAGCATATGTAAGTTGTACAGTCACGAGCAATAAAATTAAAACGTGTGCTGTATAAACAGATGTGTTCAAAACACGAAGGTTTCGCGAACACATGCATTATGGAGGGTGTCGTTTGAGAAGTAAAAAACGCTTTACTTTCCAAAATGTCTGGTCTTAGTCTCTGTGTATACAAGTTTCTGAATACATCTTTCTTCTCTTAATACCTTGCTTTTTTGTGTCGATTTTTAGATTAGTTGGATTGATATGGAGGCATTTTGGTGTCGTCTTCCTGTGTTTATGGTGTACATAGTGTTAATTTGGTTACCATAGAAGGCAGCAACTTTGTACCCACTACACATGATGATGCATGTGTTTGAGATGCAGAACATAACGGTAGGTTGTTTCATACAAACGTACAAAGTAGGCAAATATAATTACATGTACGCAAAGACATAAACAATTAGAAAAAGGAAGCCAAAGATATATGGAAAAGTTGTCGGGTGACACATATCAAATTTCAGCAGTGGAAATTGGAAAAACAAGGCAACTTCCGAACATTGTACAAACATAAAATACCTCTTTATATATTTAAAGAGAAAATCATCTTCAACCTTCGATTTTTTTGTTAAAATTTCTATGACATTATGATCATCTGTCGTAGTATAAATTGCTAGTACATTTTCCCCTGCCATTTTACACAATAATTGCTTGCATTATTTTATGCATATACTTTTGTAACTTAAGTATTTATGAAGACTAGCCACCGTTAATCTAAACAGCTGATCAATGTTCTGCTAAGGCAAATTGTTTCTGAGCATTTTTTTAATCTGCAACGAAATGATGATTTGGTACGTGAAGACAATAGACATTTCTTCCGGCTTACGAAGCGACGAGAGTGGAGCCCACAGGAATGTCTGTCTTATCAGATATATCCTCCTCGTAATGACACGAACGTCAGGTATTAGCCGGTGAATCAGCATTACTTTGCTGAAGAATTCATACCAAAGAACGATAAAAAAGGAGTTGAGACAGAATAACTACAATATTTGCCAGTTATACACCGTTATAACAATGACTAGTCCTTCCCAGCTGAAATAATACAATAGATTTCTATCTCCCCAATTGAAATTATTTTTAAATATTTTGTATACTCTTCAATTGTCCATTCTCTGCACTGTTTTAAATCTGAGAAATGTGAGAACATTTTTTTTCCTGTTGAATATTTTACAGGTACAGGCCCCAGTCCTTTTGCGGTGTAAGGGTAAGACTTGAGAAATCACCATCGTAATATTTCTTCCTTCAAGTAAAACAAAACAGTGTGTATGTTCTCCACATTTTTATGAGCCCATTTGGCTACCGAACATGGTGTATCTTTTTCTTCTCTTCTTTATAAGCTTTCTCACTCGAAAGTGTCTCATATCGTTTAGCGGCCATACTTGTAACGGATGCTACTAGACTTGACTGGGATTAGATATGCTCCCTTCTCGACGCTCAGTACTGAACGGGATGTTAAAAAGAAGCGTAACTTGACCGTTGTTGTGTTTGTTAAATGGATCGGGAAGAATTGCATGCCAATTTTCCTCCGCTTAAACAATTCAATCTATTCAAACCTACTCTACAATTGGAAAATATGAAAATATAAAGTAGCTACACATCAACGTCACATATAATTTTAATGGACTTTACAACATTATATCTGGAATGTTTTCCTTTATCTATAGTACCGATGCTAATTGTTTAAATAATTATTCTATCTGTAAACAATGTTAAATCAATGAAGTATGACTGGATCATTCTCATGTTATATAGTTATACAGCAGTCTTAACATAAAATGGTTTCATAAACAGTATTAGTATTTCTTTTCAATCTTCTTCAAACACAGTTATACGAATTTATACAGTTAACTGCAAAACATCAAGACTAAACTCAATAAGAATTAAGAGGAATGATATAAAAGTATGCTCCCGATAAAAAGGGTATTATTATTTACAGTAACATTAACGAAAATCAGTCAATAAGGTAAATAAATCTTGTCATTTCTGCTTGTCATATACATAATATGTCTTTAAAATTGTGTACAAGTTGGAGTACAATTGAACTGATAAACAAATATATTATCACAATGGTCCAACCTTGTTTATTAGCTTACGACGGTTTTTCTGTATTGTAGTTTTGTTATTATTTATTTAAGTTTCGATTACAAAGAGTGTTACGCGTGACCTGCTATATAGAACAAGAAGTCACTGAACCGTACCATTTCTGATAATAGTTGTTTGTAAAGAACCTGACAAATATCTAGGTGTACTGTTGTGCCAGTAGAATACATTTTAATGTAATGGATCAGTTTTATGTTCTTATTGCTGTTCTGTATGGTATAACGTTAGAGCCAAGGGAGTTAATCAGTAGGCTAAATCTGTCCAGTGTTTAAAACAAGAGAACATGTAATGCAAATATTATAGTTTCAAAAAACGTAAAGCTTCATTTCCAAAACAAATCATTATCCAAACGGAATCACGGTTAGGAACTCTATTCCCTTCGGTGTTAAATCGGTCTCGTTAAACACATTTTTAAGATTATATTAAAATTTTATTTAGAAACATCACACACAGACAGTAGATCCTTTACTTAGTGGAAAAGGAACCACAGAAATCCAGCCAGGCTTGTTTTTTTTCTCTTATATCTGAAAATTTAGCTTCTTCCGTTGACAGCTTACAATAAAATTTCATGATTTTAAGAAAGGTAAAGGTTTTTTTTTTTAATTTAATAATTCCCCTATTGTATTGCCAGGAATATTGGAAATAATCAGGAATTTGATCGAAAGTGTTGAGCTTCAATATTGTCTTCATATATTCAACCGAAATCCTCTTTTGATTCCAGATAGTTTAATACAGTTTATGATTAATAATCAGAAGTTTTTAGGAACTTTGTTGATGGAAATAAGAGGCAAAACCAATTCATATGCATCCAATAAAAACCGAGCAGAACCCAAAGAAAATGAAATTAACTTAAGAGTGCGATATAAGTATTAGCAGCCAGGTAGGTGTTACTGGCAAAAATAAAAGAATTAGAGGTATACGTATGAAAAATTAAAGGAAGTATTATAAGAGAGAGAGAGAGAGAGAGAGAGAGAGAGAGAGAGAGAGAGAGAGAGAGAGTGAGAGAGAGAGAGAGAGAGAGAGAGAGAG